ATTTTTCCCTATTTTTTAACCACTCAGAAAATCACTATTTCAAAATACATTTTCCCCCAAAAATGGGGCTCAAACAGGGGCTTAGTCCTGTTGCCCAATTATTGAAATAAAACGCTTCAGTGCCCAAACCCAAAAGTATCAAAGAAGTGTAGGACAGTTAAGCAGTAAATCAACAACATTTCCAGAAATCAAAGTATCAGTGCAGCTTTGAATCACAGAAAAATGAAAAGAGGTTCTACAGTCCAATTTTACGACAAATTTAACTATCTGAATATATACTCCCCAAATTTCTTTGGTAGTGAAGAAACCTCCAAAGTCACCAAGATGAAACCTTAGCAATTGCACCATCAGTTTGACCACCTCAAATCAACAACAAGTGTCACATTACAAAATTTCAAGACGCGCAGCAACACCAATGACAATGAAATCTCCTAACTTTTCCTCATTTACTTATGTCCAACTAACATCTCTTTTTCGGGTAACCAACCAAAACATCCATATGTCCATTTTCCCAGTACTCTCAGTTCTGATATGGAACCAAACAACACATTCAATATTCCTAACATATTCATCACTGCAGACAATATTTAATAGTTTATGAATGAGAAGCCTGACACTGGTCATAAGCACCATTACTTGCAAATCACAAGGCACAACAGGAACAATTTTGATAACTCAAAATGTAAAATCTACCATGTCCAGCCAATTCCAAACAGTCAATTTCAGCAGTGCAACATGAAATTGTCCAGTCTATGATAACTAGGCAGGCTGCCAAGGAAAACCAACTTCGAGAGAGAGATACCACCACTAAGCTTCATTTCATGTCCAACATAAGTATACAAAATGAAGTTGTTGCATTTTATCCAGCAATGCTTCCATGACAATGAGCATTAGAACTCATGTTGTACAGAACATATAAAACACTATAAATCATTCATCAGCATCAGGTTAGATTGTAGATTCAGCCTCTGTTTGTCTCCCTTTAAAACAAACCTCTCCTGGAATGGCATTATCATGACTCAGCTGCCTCAATTAGAAAACTCAGCTGAGTCATGATAATGCCATTCCAGGAGAGGTTTATCAGGCTCAAATTTATAAACCAAATAGTGTGTTAGCAATTTCCATCCATGTATAGATCACTCATAGTAGAGCTCTAAGATTGAATTGACATCATTTGAAGTAGAAAACCGAGATCAGCAAAATGAGGATATCAATCTCACAGGATAAGATGTAGAACTCAATATTTTAAGTCGTATGCCCTCGAATACAGCTAAAACTGGTGAACAGTACCAAAAGGGCAACAACTGCTACTGAAAGCAAGAGTGCCACCTCTCACCACCCCAAATAACAAAAACATATTTCTTTTTCTTTTCTGAAAGAAGAAAAATTTTTCATGAAATTGAGGGTGAGGTGGGAATGGTTAGTCTTTAGACTTCATATATAAACAAATGATTTGTAAGTCACAGCTGCATAGCATCAAATTTTTATTCATTGGAAAGGGAATATATCATCTTTGGATAGCTTCAAATTTGCTTCCAAAGGGTATAAGTTAATAAACAACGGACAAGAACAGAGGTCAATACCATTATGCCACTTTTCAAGTGACTGAATACAGTCTCACTAAAAGAAAAGAGAGAAGGGGATGGGGTTTCAGGGAAGGGAAGGGAAGGGAGAAGTGATATGGTCAATCTTCAGATTTTAGATATATTCAAATAAATCACAAGTCATAGTTTCAATCGAATTTTAATTCATTTAAGGGGAAACATCATCTTTGAATGAATATTTTCCTCAAACAACGCAATCTATATAACTGGAAAATAATGGAATCAATTCCATTGTGCCAATTTTCACATCAATGCAAAGACATACGACGCGAGACTCCTTACAGCAAAGGAGAAAGACATGAATCCACATACAATCAAGGATATTATTTTATTTTGATGCAAATTGGCTCCTGTAAAATTATAATTCACTGCCAGGCAATTGGACACTCTTTCAGATACCACAATGATAAAGTAGCATATTTGCCAAACCGGCATACATGAAAGAAGTACCCAAAAAACTTATAACTTGAAGTATCAGAAGTAAGCACATTTTCAAATACTTTGCAGCTCGTTCTTCACATAATACAGCAATTTGTTCCAACTAAGCAAATTCTAGCAAACAACTCAGTCATAAAACCACAGCTTATAGGAGCAGATAGGGTAGAGTTGAAGCAGCCACAGATCTCAAGCAGTCCATACCATTTAAAGCATTTGCATCCAAGAAGCTGTCATAATACCTGAATAGATACCCATGCATAACTCAATCATCATTCAAAATTCAAACATAACAAAAAAGAGTTATGTTAAGGCTATGAACTATATCAGCTAAAACATTTATTATGAACATGTGAAATCAACATTCCATCATCCGAATATTAACTTTATTAAACAATTCCTTATTTCCCGTTATTTCCACAATTTCTTCCAAAGAAGCAACGGTAGCCTCTTGTATTGCGGATGGTGATGGTTATGTGAAGGACTCTCCAGGACATGAGAAGAACAGAAAAAAGGAGATCGAGTGAAGGGTTTTAGAACACTTCACCCAGAGCCACTAGTCCATTACAAAGGACGGAGGATGATGACAGAACCAAGATACCATAAATTCCCAAGTAGA